GTCTTTACAATTACACCCCCTCGAGAAATGTCAGCTGAACACGTTTTACAAATCGCAATCCGCGCCTCTCTCTCTGATATTTTTGAAATATCTCCAAGCGGCAGACATGTTGGCTGTGAGCCAGCCCCGAGCATGGTCGCGCGCCGTGCTTGTCGCCGCGTTTTGATTACGTCATCACAACAACACGTTAGCTTACCAAACTTATAGGTGCATTTGTTGTTGTTGAAGCCCTGGCTGTTACAGTCTTTATTTACACTATTTTTGTTGTAGGCCTACTGGCCTAGATGTTTATGCAGTTTTAAAGCACCTTGGCTTTGTTCTGAATGCACTTTGTTGTAGTTATCCTACAGAGAAAAGAAAATGCACTTGACTTGGAATTAATGTACTGTATGCATTCAAAAGTGCTGAATAAATGTTTTATGGACCCATAATAGTGATTATTATTTAAGTTAAGTTTTGCCATAATCATGTCTTTTTCCATAATCAGGTAGCTGAACAACATTGGTAAAAAATGTATACATTATATATATATATATTTCTATTAATCATTTTCGGCATTCGGTTTTCGCCCAACTGTTTCCTATTTTCGGTATCGGTTTCGGCCAAGAATTACTCATTCGGTGCACCCCTAGCTTTACCAAAGGAATGGGTTATGTAACCCATCTAGCGTCAAATTATCTCGACGTAGCCTGAAAAAGTAAATACACTGGCCATCCCTAGTCTAAAGACCTTTTTTTTGGTTCTTACTGCTCTGTGGGAATACATTTTTAAGAAATGGTGGCATGTGGAAATGCAGTTATAAGTACTGTGAGAAATCAATTTATGGCAGGAAGATTAATCCAATAACTGTAAAAGCCCCTTACACACTGGCTAAGTTTCTGTCTGTATTAAGCGTGTTTCTCCATGCAGGCAGCCCTGTGCCAGCCAGAGTAGTCTGAAGGACATCAACTGGGACAGCTCACAGTGGCAGCCCCTGATCCAGGACCGCTGCTTCCTGTCCTGGCTGGTAAAGATCCCATCGGAGCAGGAGCAGCTTCGCGCCCGTCAGATCACTGCCCAGCAGATCAACAAGTTGGAGGAGCTCTGGAAGGTACACAGTTGACAGGCTAGAGGCTTTTTCTCACGGGTTGCATATTCAGAGGAAAATCGCCGCCAGAACTTTTTTAAATTGAAGTGGCAAGCACAAACTTAAGGTTTTTAAGCCTCGCCGTTTTAAAGGCTTTTGCTACTATACAGTGAATGGAATAAAAGGTTGAGAACCTTTTATGAACATTCATCACTGTTTGTTTTGACTTTGTTTCCTCCCAGGACAACCCCACTGCCACCTTAGAAGACCTGGAGAAGCCTGGAGTGGACGAGGAGCCCCAGCATGTGCTGCTACGCTATGAGGACGCCTACCAGTACCAAAACATCTTTGGCCCTTTGGTCAAACTGGAGGCTGACTATGACAAGAAGCTTAAGGAGTCCCAGGTACCTGAACGGCACTTGTAATTGCGAACCTTTCAAATCATATACTAGTGTTTCTCTTCCTTAAGTGTCCATGATTTTATGTGAAGTGCAGTTTTTCAGATGAAATAAAAACATTGACTGCAATGACAAGTGTTTCTGGTGGACGCATTTAGCTTAAACACATCATTTTTTTGCGTGTCTATAGGGTTACAGAATGAATGCCTTTTACCTGTTCTTTTGTTGATTTTATATGTATGCTTTTTATTTTCTCCTTTGCAGACTCAAGATAATATAACAGTCAGGTGGGACCTGGGGCTGAATAAAAAGCGGATTGCCTATTTCACACTGCCCAAGACGGACTCAGGTGGTAATTCTACGAGCTTTACTTCCTCCCAGTGGTTCTGTGGTACAGATAGAGCCCCACCCATCCTCATTCAGTCCTGAGAATTGCACGCCACCTCCCAGACCCTCCATATTTTGGTGGCATGTGTGCTTTGTTTTGTTTTTGCCTCTGTTTTTGTAGTGGGTCTTTGTGCGTGCACGGTACTGTATAATTTTGTTTATGATCACAGCCCATCCTCCTTAGTTTATTTGTGAGTCCTTTGGGGCATAGACAGGTAGCTAACTTGTGTCTTTATATCACTCCCAGATATGCGGCTGATGCAAGGTGACGAGATCTGCTTGCGGTACAAGGGAGACCTGGCCCCGCTGTGGAAAGGCATTGGTCATGTCATCAAAGTCCCTGACAGTATCCTTTACACCTTTTATCAGTTTCATCATCTATTGCATTACAGTGTCTGGCTCATTCCATTAGCACTAGTCCCTAATGGCAAGGTACGGCATTATCTATAAAACTGGACTAGTATAGAAAACATCAAATGTACTTCCTTAACGGCTTGTGTTTGAAGACTATGGAGATGAAATTGCCATTGAGCTGAGGAGCAGTGTTGGAGCACCTGTGGAAATCCCACACAACTTCCAGGTGGACTTTGTGTGGAAGTCCACATCCTTTGACAGGTAGGTGTTATTTTTTTCCCTCCCACAAATAATACAGGGAGCTTAATTGTTTTCGTTGTTTACCCTCTTCACCATCAGATGTGCAGTGATGGATTAGTTAGTGACTCACATTTGTGTTTCTGCAGGATGCAGAGCGCCCTGAAGACGTTTGCGGTTGACGAGACCTCCGTGTCTGGTTACATTTACCACAAACTGCTGGGCCACGAGGTGGAGGATGTGACCATCAAGTGCCAGCTGCCAAAGCGCTTCACTGCCCAGGGCCTGCCCGACCTCAATCACTCACAGGTCAGACCTCACAAAACACCTACTCTGTGATTCCTCCTATTCATTTGTCATTATTTTCTAAGGTCTTCAAGATATTACAGCAGGCAGAACTGTGTTGAGTCAAGACTTAAGCAATATCTCCACGTGTAGCAGGCCCTTTTTATTTTTCTGGCAGCAGAGTGATACTGATTTGTGCAAAGGAATTTGATGTTGTAGCTGATATTATAACAACATATCACAGCATTGACCCAACCGATTGCTTTATTTAACTTATCTAATTGTTATTTGATAAACAAAGGTAGTTTGTGTGCAATACTTTATTAAAGCGGATAGAAAATGTAATCTGTTTTAGTTTAATTTTAAGTTTAATTTTGATCTTTATTTGCAACAGTTAACACTTGACTAAATCCTCTTTTTTTGTCTGATCAATGCATGTTCAGGTGTACGCTGTGAAGACGGTGCTGCAGAGGCCTCTCAGTCTGATCCAGGGTCCTCCTGGCACTGGGAAGACGGTCACCTCTGCCACTATCGTCTACCACCTGTCCCGACAGGGCAACGGGTAAGACACATAGACTTGCATATGGAAACGCTTAAAGGGACCTGTGTTGTCCTTTACTTTTCCTGTCCTAACTCTATGGTTTGTATGTGTGTTTGTTTGCAGACCAGTTCTGGTTTGTGCTCCCAGTAACATTGCTGTGGATCAGTTGACTGAGAAGATTGACAAGACTGGACTGAAGGTCGTCAGGCTGTGTGCCAAGAGCAGGGAGGCCATCGAGTCACCAGTCTCCTTCCTGGCTCTGCACAACCAGATCAGCAACATGGACAGGTCAGTGGCATGTAGGGAAATTGACTGTGTACAAATACTCATTTCATACCTCACCGGCCACCTCCATATTTATATATGTATATTTTGTTTTGTCACTTTGACCTTGAATTTCACTAAGTTCTCTTTCTCATATTCAATAAATGTATGTGCCAAAAAGGACAAACAAGATTTGAAATTGGTTACAGTGATCTTGATTTCATTTACTGGGGATTTTGGAAACTGAGAAAATGTCGGGTGCTGGTTTCTTTTGAGATCCAAATCTGAAACTGATTGTGCCCCCGCGGGGGGGCATGGAACAGTGAATGGGAGGGAGAGACGTGAGGCAATGATAATGCATAAGGTGTATCATTACCTTACACACAACAGAAAATGTGTATATGTAGTTTGGTCTGGTCACCAATAGGCACTAGCTGTGTCTCGCTACTCAGGGAGAACATTAAGGTTCTGCAATACCCTGTGTACATAAATCAGTTTAGAAATAGAACCAAAAACACCTGTCTGAAAATCATTATGATTTTAAGATTTTCTCAAGTTGAAGTAAGACAACAATAGTTGTATGTACATCTATTGGTAAATTGCTAACAAGAAATGAAAGGAGATAGTTCAGCATACTTTTCACACATGAAATAATGGAGCTCAAGTTGCAGCCTGCAGCTCATAAACTGACTTCATGGCAACATAATCCTTCCTGTTTACAGAACTCAACTTCCAAAGCTGGCTAGGGCAGGGTTTTTAAACTTTGAAAGCTCCTCCACCAGATCACAGAATAATTGAGTATGTTCATTAGTGTACGATTTTAATGTCTGCTTTCTGTAGTCACCCCGATGTGTCCTTGTCTCCCTAGTATGCCGGAGCTTCAGAAACTTCAGCAGCTGAAGGATGAGACCGGTGAGCTGTCGTCTGCCGATGAGAAGCGTTACAGGGCTCTGAAGCGCACCGCTGAGAGGGAGCTGCTCATGGTGAGGAGGAGGAGCTTTAAATGGTTAATCCAAAACAGCCTCAGGTTGAAACTCGGCTTAGAGACCGGCTACTGCTTTTCAGACACTGCTTATACAACATGTACTTTCTGCTAAGCAAGAACAGCATTTACAGAACAGTTGGAACCATCAGAATTACTAAGTGCTATTACGAGGCATCCTAATACCGAATGTTTTGGTAACCAGGAAGGACCTGTGCTATTAATATCAATATGGAATTAATCACAGGAGGAGACCCTCTTGTTTTTCACCACTGTATCAAGACTCCTATTAAATAATTGTAACTTCCTTTTTGTTGTCCAGAATGCTGATGTTATCTGCTGTACCTGCGTCGGCGCTGGAGACCCTCGTCTGGCCAAAATGCAGTTCCGCTCCATCCTGATTGATGAGAGCACCCAGGCCACCGAGCCAGAGTGCATGGTGCCCGTGGTGCTTGGAGCCAAGCAGGTAAACAAACCATTAGAAACAACTTGTTCACAAAGCTTGGGGCCAGAAAATCCTACTGTTGGTTTACTGAGCAGCTTTAAGAGCCGCTTTCACACCAAGTAGTTAGCCGGTACTTGTTCCCCCTGAACTCTTTAGTCCCTCAATCTGTCCAAGTAGATCACGTTCTCACCGGAATAAGTCCCTGAGGGAGGATTAGGCAAATGAAGCCTCTGACGTCACTTCTTCTTCTTCTGCTTTGGGTTCACAAAACTTTTCAGAGTTTCACGGGGCGTCTTTTGCAATTCGCCAGCCAATCAGAAATTGTTAGTGTGGCCGACACACCCCATGGATGTATAATAAGAACAGGATACAGCCTCGGAGGCGGGGTCTCGTTCTTTCCTATGAGAGCTGCTCATTGGCGCATGAAGGCAAAATGGCCCAACCTTTGAGAGAGCGAAACGTCACAGATTACCCGTCATGTCTGGCTTTCAGAGCAGAAATACCCGTATGTGTGCTCATAGAGCATGCTCAGTTGAGTTGCCACTTAAGCCCCGCCCCCTGAGCGCCCACTCTCGGCTCACTAGAATGAATGGAGAGAAAATAAATCTAGATTTGGCTTTTAGTACATTTTACAACTTTAAGGACCGAATGATTCTAATAAGGGCTATAAAATAGTTCATACTGAGTAGTTTATTTAGTCTTTTAAAAATGATCCGTATTTCCCCATGTTAGTCAATGGGGAAAAAGTCTTTCTGGGCCCAGTGACGTCACAGACTGATACGGAAGTTGCAGTACAGCCGTTTGGAAACAACGAATGTTGGGCACAGAGTCCGGTGCACTTCCTGGGGGCTTGACACCACCACAAACCATTTCCTCCTCAGGAAAGTACTACCTCGCTAGCAGGGACGATCTGGGGGTGAAAAGGTTTGCATGAACCAGGGACTAGTTCCAGATCCTTTTTGCTGTGAAACCAAATCCCCCCCCCCTTATCGGCCTAGTTCGGGGGGGAAAGTACTCCAGTGTGAAAGTGTAACTGTGACTGTTATCAAGACCTTTCCATGAATTTAGCAATTGAGCTCCTGTGAATACAAATCTTCTGACTTTCCGCTTTGCCTTAAACATGTCAATATAATGATATGGATAAATGACTATTTGAATGATATGCTTCCTCCTCCCAGCTCATTCTGGTGGGTGATCACTGCCAGCTCGGTCCCGTGGTGATGTGTAAGAAAGCAGCCAAAGCAGGTCTGTCCCAGTCCCTGTTTGAGCGCCTGGTGGTCCTGGGGATCCGGCCCATCCGCCTGCAGGTCCAGTACCGCATGCACCCTGCTCTCAGCGCCTTCCCCTCCAACATCTTCTATGAGGGCTCTCTGCAGAACGGAGTCACTGCAGGTTTGTTCACCACATTTATTTCCCCTGTGGTTATTACATCGGCATGTTAAAAGACTTTAATGTAATGAAATCATCATGCTCTCTTCAGCTGACCGCATCAAGAAGGGGTTCGACTTCCAGTGGCCACAGCCCGACAAACCCATGTTCTTCTACGTGACTCAGGGTCAGGAGGAGATTGCCAGCTCCGGAACCTCCTACCTTAACAGGTAACATCACACATTTACTAGGGTTACTTTGCATAATTTAACTAAATAAATAATTCAAAATATACTAAGTGTATTGAAAAGAGGGTTGCCAAACACTAGAGGGTGCTATTGTATATGTCGATGGTTAAGAAAGCCTCTTCCTGTCCAACATGATCGAAATGAAATGCTTGGATCATCTCCAGAGAACACTGAAAGAAATGTTTCTTCCAAAAGTCTTCTTATTTTCAGAAATGGACCTTGTTGAAGGGGGGCCAGACTTCCAGACAAGCAATATTAAAACCAGTGCAGTGCATGTTATTTTTGTTTGTGTTTTAGCTTTGGCAAGTCAAAGAATCCTCATCCTTACAACAGCATTTACTATTCCAATGAACTTAGGATGTAGTGTCCCAGGGCTGAGCAGTACAGTTTTTCGCTGATATTTTTAAAGGACGGAGGCTGCCAATGTAGAGAAGATCACCACCAGGCTGCTGAAGGCTGGAGCCAAACCTGACCAAATCGGCATCATCACCCCGTACGAGGGTCAGCGCTCCTACCTGGTCCAGTACATGCAGTTCAGCGGCTCCCTGCACACCAAACTCTATCAGGTAGCACAAGCATCTGAGACACTCTAGATCAGAGATGTACTTAATGTCATCCTTTGTACTTCCATGAGCTGTCAATACATTCAAATGATTGGGATACATAAATGATCATCAGTAAAGTTGTCCTGTGGTGTTTTACAAACTCTCTTCCTTTGTTTTACCTATGCAATCTCTCCCTGATCTTCCTCTTCTCCTATCCTTCTATAGCAAGTGGAAATTGCCAGTGTGGACGCCTTCCAGGGCAGAGAGAAGGACTTCATCATCCTGTCTTGTGTGCGTGCCAACGAGCACCAGGGCATCGGCTTCCTGAACGACCCGCGTCGTCTCAACGTGGCGCTGACCAGAGCCAAGTAAGAACCTTCACAATAGATCATTATGGCACAGCACGCAGCCAGCTAATGAGTGTTTGATTCAGATGTTCCACGTAGAAGGTTAGTAGGGGTTGATCAGAGAATTTCGACAACCGTTCTGTGGAAAAATCTTCTTATGACTTTTTTTATGAATTGGATTGTGAGCACCCACAGTATCCACACTACAACAAGTGTAGTTAAAAACAAAATGTCTTTCCCATCCCTGAACAGCTGTCTGTGTGTTTTTATAAATAAAGGTACGGTGTGATCATCGTGGGAAACCCCAAGGCCCTCTCCAAGCAGCCGCTGTGGAACAACCTGCTGAACAACTACAAAGAGCAGAAAGTCCTGGTGGAGGGACCCCTCAACAACCTGAGGGAGAGCCTCATGCAGTTCAGCAAGCCCCGCAAACTGGTCAACACCATCAACCCTGTGAGTAGAACAGAGTAATGCTTGTGCACCCATGCTGTTTTGAGGCAAACAATGTCACAAGACAAAACAAGCCAATTGAAGACATGTATTTGGACTCTTGTTAAAAATAAATGTTATTTGAAGCACTGAGTATTATGCAACTGTATCAAATTGACATTGTCTGGTTATCTCCAGGGCGGACGTTTTATGAGCACTGCAATGTACGACGCCCGCGAGGCCCTCATCCCAGGCTCCGCCTACGACCGCAGCAATGCCGGTATTTATTTACTAGAGGATTATTAAATTGTGGTTTTTTTATCAACAGGCTGCATAACAGTCCAGAAAAACAATACTGGACTAGCCTGGTTAACTTTGTAAAAAAAGCTGACATGAGTCTTGTCCTGTATGCTTTCTTTCAGGCGGACGTCCGTCCAACATGTACTTTCAAACTCACGACCAGATTGGGATGATTGGGGCAGGACCCGGTCACATGGCTATGAATATTCCCATTCCCTTCAACCTGGTGATGCCCCCAATGCCTCCGCCCAGTTACCTGGGGCAGACCAACGGCCCTGCTGCAGGTACAGTGCAGCACTGAGATGGCCCTCTTTGCTATGAAAGGGGTTAGTCGCAAGGTACAGGGCCTGTTTCGACACCTGTCTTATTTTCTTTCTTTTTTCCCCCAGGTCGTGGAGCGATGAAGGGTAAGCCTGGACGTGGCGGGCGGCAGAGGGTCCGAGGGTCGGCCCACCAGGGGGCCAGTCAGGGTAACGGACCAAACAGCCAGGCCAGCCAGGACGGGGCCTCCCAGCCCTTCTCCCAGGGGCCGCTGACTCAGGGCTACATCAACATGAGCCAGCCCTCTCAGATGAGCCAGCCTGGCCTCTCCCAGCCGGAGCTCTCCCAGGTAACACCTCAGTGCCACGTTTATGACATGCTCAGGATGAGTTACGTCAATCTTTTCTTTTATTGATTTCACACGTCAGACATGTTTTCGTTTATTTCGTTTAGGAAAATGCAGTTCGTTTTCACTTAGTGAATTATCACTTTCTTATTATAAACTTTATTTTGAAAGAACATACTGTACCTATACAGGAATATATGACAGTTATTTTCCAGCCTCTTGGAGACTTTTGATGTATTGAATTTGATTTAATATTGAGTGTTATTATAGTTTGGTTGCACTGGTCATATTGATCTAGAAATGTATTAGGTAATAATAAGAATAATATAAATGTATATTAAATCATATATATTGTTTTGCATTACAAGAAATGAATAGTTAGTGCCTTAGATCTCACTGATGAAGGCAATTCTGTCTGCAATGATGCTTCTGTCCTCCCGTTTCCAGGACAGCTACCTAGGCGATGAGTTCAAGTCCCAGATCGACGTGGCTTTGTCCCAGGACTCTACTTACCAGGGTGAACGTGCATACCAGCATGGTGGGGTGACTGGACTGTCACAGTACTAGAGTGTAAGTACATGAGATATAGTCTTTGTAGTCACAATCAGGCACATTTACACATACATTATTTGAGTTTCCCGGCCTTCAGCTCTTATGTTAAATATAAAGTTATTTTCAAAATCACCTTTGTGGTGTGGACAAAAGATTATAAGCCTGTTTTGTGTCTTGCAGGTATCTTTAAAGAAGGGAGCTAGGCTTGAGCTGAGCTTAGTTCATCAGCTTTTTAATCTGGGAAATAATAAAAACATAAAATGGATACCTGTTTTCCTCTGCTACAACCGAAGCACCACCGAGTGAAAGCGACGGGATAGCGAAACCAAACCAATGACCAGCGAGAGAGATAAGAGGGTGGAAGACGTAGAGAGCACGAACGGACGGGCATGGAGACGGCGAGAGAGGCCGAGTGAACAAGCAAGAGGCGGGGGCCGATGCCCGTGCAGTGTGAAGGAGGGGAGTCGAGAAGATGGCGGCATGTGGTCGGGCTGCTGAGGGAAACGGAGCGGAGATCTCAGCGGTCTCTCGTGGGAATCCAAATGAGGTTCAATTCCCAATAAAATAATCCAGCCTACCCCTTCAACCCACAGCCTCCAGGAAGTGTAGGAAAGCCATCTGATCTCCAGGTGGGGATCGACGCTTTCTAGCCGAATTTGAAGAACTTGTTCTCCAAACTTTGCAGGGGGCTTGAAAACAGAAAGCCATCGAACAGGAAACACAAAATCCCAGTGCTAAAAGTCAGTTGGTTTATCCACCTGAATCTCTGAAATGTGGTTTACCATGGGAGGAGAGGGGCACCAACACTCTTCCAGTGGGCCCTAAAGCCTCAGCAGCCTCAGAAGGAAGCAGCAGTCGACACCCTCTCGGAGAGGAAATATAAACACGGTTTCTGTGTTTGAGTCTGAGATTAAAGAGCCTTGAATTGAAATACCTTTCACTTGCCTTGAGAACCACTGGCTCTTTCACAAGGTCTTTGACAGCTGGTTTGTGACCACACGTCAGTGGTGCAGTGGCACGGGGATTTCAGACTGTTTTTTCAAGGCATGACAAGCGAATCCCACCGGTATCGCGATCATCATGGGACAGTTTTTTCTTCTCTGAAGTACCTTTCCTATCACAGAGCACAAAATTGCAAAAAGGTCATCGAAACTATCAAACATGACCAGCATTGAATATTCGACTCAATGTCATTTGATGTTTCAGCAAAAGGCTTTTCCTTATTTGAATCTTTTGAAAGCAGGCGTTGTTGATGTCCTGCTGTGCTTCATGACCAGATGTCTTTTTGAAAACACTGTGTGTACGCTTAGATTGGCAAACGCTTGAAAGCTTTGCGTTGATAGATTCCTCAGGGGGTTGTGGGCTGTCCACACTCATCAGAAATATCCCTGCTTGAGGTGAAAGAAACCAAACGAGGGGGAGAGAGGGATGATGGTAGTTGATGCTTACAGGCGGCCGTGGCAATCAATCCACCACAGGTAGGGAGTAGAAAAGGAAGGTGGCTGAGGGAAAGGAAATGTGAGTTTCCACATCTGGAAGACTAGCTGAGGTTATTTTCAGGGGTTGAGAATGCTGATTGAAACATTACTTTAGGACTCTTCTGTCCATATAGATTAGGTAACTTGTAAACCCATTGTTATAAATACAAATAAATCACAGCATTTAGATTTTTGTGAATATTGTTCACATAACAAGCAATATAGTCAGGCTGATGGCCATATTGCTAAGCCACACACATGTAACGAGTGAATTATCATTGGTAATTGTGTAATACATAATTTAAATATTAATGTAATCTGAAAGATCTTTAGTTAATGTGTGAATAAAAACATGACTAGACCCTAGTCACAGTGCACATGCCATCAGTACTGATAAGATGGTGAGAACAAACATGAAAGTGAGTGAGAACCTGAATCAGTGCCTATAATAAATCACCTTCATATAAACAGCTGCAGCACAAGCATGAATGTAGTTAAAAATCAAACTACCAGCAAACAAACCTTCCAGGCATCAGAGGGTTGAAGAAACCCTCAGGAAAGGACTTGTTGTATTTTTATTTTTGTAATAAAATCAGGCCAGGTAAATAGGAGGTCAGTTGTTTTAGCAGCCAGGTAAATTCTCTAAGGATGGGCATATAAAAAAGCCACCTTCCTTCTCTTGTAAAAAACGAAAGCTGGTAGAATTTACTTTTCTTTCTGTGGACTTGTGATTTGTGCGAAACTGTATCGCCTGCTTTATGTATTCCTTGTAGAGTTCCTCTCCAGATTTATGTTGATCCTAACCCTCTTCCTGGAACACTGAACCTGATCCAAACGTTTCTTTAGTCAGGAGTCTCCCTGTGTGTGTCATGTTTTGTTCAGTTGGATATTTAGCCGTTGTGTAGTTTTACTAAGATCTGTTTGCTGACAAAAGGAATGAGGCGAACTCTGTTCCCTTTTCATAAGTTTTGTATCTTCTCCTCAATGTCTGAGAGATTGTAGTTTTGTAACTCTTCCAGGAAAGATGTATTTTATTTGTTGTTAAACACAGTAAGAATGTACTCCAGTGTTTCTCACCTGCTTCTTATTTCAGCAGACAATCATGTCGCTAGTAGATGTGGCCATGTTTAATTGACTTAGAAATTGTGTTTGAATCTCTTTAGTGCAATGATTTAATGTCACAGATCGACCCGTTCCTTTGAATCCTAACATGTAATAGCTTTAAGAACCTGCTGCCGTAATATTATTGCTTTGGTGTTTCCTTATCTTCTGAGCCATGATGAATTTCAACATGTAGAGTGATCATTGAAGTAATTCAGTAGTTGTTAAACATTTGCATCCAATCCCTTGATTCTGTCATCAGGCAATGTGATGTTGATATCTATTTGAAACGTCTTGCAGTGAAGTTTCATCACATGGTGGTTCCTTGTTTACCTGAATCAATAAAGGCTGTCGACTTGAGTAATTCTTTGATGGTGTGAAACTCGGTTCAGATTTATTTGCAGATGCTCATTCATTTGAACATTTTACAGGTATTGTACAGTAATAACACAAAGTATATACATGGGACACGACCGTTTTTTACACTGATGTCTGCCCTGCCTTTTTCTTTTGTTTCCGTTTCATAATTTTCTTTTTCAGCTGTCCACGTTTCTGTTTCTCAATGGTCTCGTGGATATTCTGTTTGAACTTCTTTTTCTGGCTCCGGATCTTCTCCAGCTCAGCTTTCCTCTTGGCCTCCAAGTCTGGATCCTGAAACGGCAGATTGATCAAAAACTGACAATGACCCATTTGCTGATTCCAAATCAAAAGCCCTAAACTATATTATTTGTAATGTTTCGCTACATTGGACACCTGAGGAACAATGTTGGCCTGTGTTACAGAAACTTAGCATGATAATCAGACTGAACGACTTTTATTTATTAGATTTATATTCATAGGTCTGGTAGCAACCGAAACGGCTCACATGGGAACCGAGCTAACAAAGAGGGAGGCATTAATAACTTAGTGGAAAATCCCTCATAGTTATTTGGCAGAGAAATATCCTTGAAAAAACTTACAAACTTAATGTGTCAAATTTTTGCAAGTTCAGCTGAAGAAAATTAAATTATCCTTCAATCATATCTAATAAGTGCCACGTAAAAACATACATTTACAATGAGTTAATTATTTTTCGCACCTGACATTTTGTCGCTTAGTCTTGGTATAATTGACATTCTAAACTTTAACAATGTCAAAAAAAAAGGTTTATTAAAGTTGGGCTGTTAGACCAAAACATACCTTTCCCTCCAAGATCAGCTGTTTCCTCTTGTTGGTCTCCTTTTTCTCATCAAAATCTGTTGACTCAAGTTTCTACAATACAGAAAAGAGTTTATCATCAGCACAAAAACATGCCAGAAGACGTATGTACTGCTTGTATGTACTTACTGAAAAACCCAACAAGAAAATATTCCTGAATTAACACAAACTCAGCTGACAGAATATATTTTTAAAAGAGGTGTCCGTACTATTTCACACTGCCTTCTGGTCACGTTGACCTGGGTGAGGATCTTCAGGACATCTTTCTCCACCACCGGATATTCCTTCAGCTTTGTCTCTATAGCAACAGAGCAGTTAGCGTTAGGTGCATCTGGTTCAGGATCAACAAGTTAATACAAGCTTACTTTAGTATTTAAAATGTACATGAAGAGGCTACCAGCCACATCAAGGGTTTGGATTTGAATAAGTTACCATTGTAGCTTGTAATAAAAAAAAAAGAGTCAAGATTTACAGATTTATATCTATAAAGTCATCGGAAGGAGATTACTGTTGATATTTCACTGATTATGAATACTATCTGACCATACGTTTATTCACTCTATGTATGGCTGCAAACATTTCTATTTTGTATCAGTGCCAAAGCAGGAAATATCAATATTTGAAGCTGCATGTTCTGCCATTTTTGCATCAAAAATTGAACTAAGGATTCATCGATAATCTAAATCAAATAGACGTTGCAGCTCTAAACCTTGTGTGACTGAAAACTGGATTTGATTTATTTCAAGTAGAACAGATGTTCACACTGCAGCCACAGGTACAGACGAGCCTGCAGGTCAGACTAGTGTTTAGTTAAGCTCCAAAACACACAAAAGGTAAAACCTACTATTCTCTGCTTCGATGGACTGGACCAGGTGAATGTCGTACTGCGTCACCAGAGTGATGGAGACCCCATTCCTCCCTGCAGAGGAAAATAACCACGTCATGTTTGAGCTGCATTTATTTCAGACATGTTATCATCAAGAATAAGTCACACATTCATGATGTTTGTGATCTTATCGTTAAAAATTAAACGTGTGAAAGGCTACCTGCTCTTGCTGTTCGTCCCACTCTGTGGATGTAGATCTTTGGGAGGCCGGGGGTGTTGTGGTTAATGACGACCTGGACAGTTGGAATATCCAGACCCCTGTGAGTCAGAGGGAAGGGTGTCAAAACAAAGTGATTTCTGTCTACAAATCTGGAATTGTGGGAGGATTGACAGCCATCATCCCTGAGACAGCAAAGCTTCTTACCTGGAAGCCACGTCCGTCGCAATCAGCAGTTTGAAGACGCTGGCCTTGAACATGGCGAGGTTTGCAAATCGTTGTTTCTGGAGAAGACGAAGAGCAGACATTCATTGCGAGTGCCCCTTTCATCTGCTATAATCTGCTATAATCCCTCACAGACGGTTTCTACACTATCACAATGGCTTTGTGCTCGCTCTACGTTTCAGTCTTTGTCTCTTTAATGAGAGGAATATGATTTTCCACATCCAACACGAGCGGCTCCGAGTACCGGTGATAAGCGACACACCATGTTGGAGGAAATCTCTGCCTTCACCTTTCTCTAACACAAAGCAGTCAGATTCTTTGTAAGTGCAATTCATTAACTGGTCAAACTGATTTTTATATATGGTCGCTCATCGACCTTGAAACGTCATTCAGCACAACTCAGTCACTACAACTAAATGATTGCTTTCACTTAGTGACGGAACAACAAAATAAAAGTTTGTTAATTGCACTCTTCTTACCTGTTTCATCATGGAGTGTAGGGAGATGGTTGGAAAGTTAAATTCCCTCATCATCATGGTGAGGATTTGGCAGTCCCTTATGGAAAGAAACACATGTTCTATTGTAATAAAAAAATGTTTTGTATATGAACCACACCAAATCAACAACTAAATGAACAAGCAGAGGCCTCTTACTAGTTATCACACCAAGGTTCAAAGAGAAAAAGGTATTGCCAACTTTGTAATTAGCAGTGGCGAGCCGTGACTTTTATACCTAGGCCCTATGACCCCCCCTTCCCTCGAAATAAGAGTTATTACATCACAGCGTACACTTCAGCGGAATATCAAAACAACGGCCCGGGGTGCAAAACGCATCAATGACAGCAACCAGGGCCGTTCCTGGCCAACTTGTGGCCCCATGCAAAGTTATATGATGGGGCCCTCTGTGTCGCGAGCGTAACGTCCGCAATAATAAAGCCCACCCATTTAGAGGGAAGATATGATTGGTCAATTGTACTGTCATTTGACATTACTCTCTCGTTCAGTTACTATAGCGGGCCCTCTGTGAATTTACAGCAGGACCACCAATCAGCTCCTATCTTCACAGTAACTTGCAGAGACGGCTCAAGGAGCTTCTTTCATTTAACCCTTCACATTCCAACAGAAACTGAACAGGCAGATTAAATGAAGTTATTTTGTTAAAACTAATGAAAGATATAACAAACAATTTTTTTTTTTTTAAATGTTTTTAAATATTATTTTGTAGAATATCTTAGGGGGCCCTGACGGCTCACCACTGGTAATTAGATGTTCTGTTTAACAACATCAGTTTATGCTACAAATCACAACCTTAACTGGCACCATTGCACGTTTCATAACATGTACAAGGTTTCCTTTAAATGCATGACATTATGGTTACTACAGGGCTTAGTAGGGTACGAGCATACACAACTTTTCACTACTTCCAGTCCACTTACTTGCACGTGTTGACGAAGATGATGATGGACCAGTCGTCATGCTCGTCGGTAAACTTCTGAATCAGGTGGACCAGGTAGGCGTCCTTCACCTTCTCAGGAGTGAGGATGTACCTCTGGTCCAGCTCCTCCACGGTTCGTGTACTGTTAACAACAATAAAGGGATATTTGACCTTTCTATATTGATAGGTAGATGCCAGAGAGATCCTAGTACAGGAACTCTGGAGCAGGAATGCATTTATGGCAAGAAGGATTTGAAAGAGACTTTAATAACTGATATGATCCAATCAGAAGGCCTTCACATTCCCCTGCAGGAAACATCTTTATGGCAGCTCAGCAAAGTGTGTGCTGCAGGCAGGTCAGCCAGATGAACAGTTTCTGCTTCACAGTGAATACACCAGCTTGAGTTTGTTGCTGCTTTCTGCACACATCTGAATAGTGCCAGTATCTGAGCTGTACTAAGCAGAATGCTCATTCGACCATACATAACTCCCATTATTTGCATGACTCTGCATAACATCCAAAAGCATTTGTGTGAGAGACACGCTTCAGTGATTAGCTGCACTTCAGATCAGATGCAAGAAAACTGATCTTCCAGGCTGTTTCTCACAAAGAATGCATCTGGAATGAGGAACAAAAGCGTAGTCACTTAGATTTTTTTTGTGAAAGGCCACTAAATAAGTACTTTAGATACATAATGCATTTAAAGCCTTCTGCAAACAAAGTTAAAAACAGCTCAAATAACACCTGTAATGTGAGAAATATTCCTTTAAAAAGTAGGTTAATGGCAGCAGGTTACTCACTCCGATTTGCTCTCCCAGAAGAAAGGTCTGTTCATGGCGATGGACTTCAGGTCGTGCAGGGTGTCTGTGAGCGTGGCGCTGAACAGAAGCGTCTGCCGTTTAGCCGGTAAAATCGCCAGGATCGTCTCCAGGTCTTTGGTGAAGTCGGTACAGCCCTGCTCCAACAGCCGGTCCGCCTCGTCCATAATCTGACAAACACACAGAGACGATGTCACAAACTGTGCGAAAAACAGTAGATCAAGAAGTAGCGTGACTGCGTATGCAGATTTAAAAAGATCCAAGCATTTGGGATCATAGGAACTACAGCACGAGATCTGAGCACTTAATGTTTTTTGCTGTTTAAAAGAATGAGGAAAAACACATGGACTTCTCTTTTGCATAATAATGTATTTATTTCGTAGTCTAAATGTATTCCTTGGCCCAACATATCTTTAGTTCATTAGAGCGATTAGGGACCTTGTCCTAGTATAAGTTTGTGTTCCTCCCTAAACTCACTAGAAACTGGATCCTGCTCATGCTGAAGGTGTTGGAGCTGCGGATGTGATCTGCTAACCGTCCGGGCGTAGCTACGACCACATGTGGTTGCTTGGAGAGCTCCAGAGCCTGGCTCACCATGTCTGTCAGAAACACATCAGAGACAACGTCAGCACAGAGGAGATGCTCAGATAGAGTTTCAAGTAACTGGCTGCAATGATTTATTCAACTTTAAGCAGCAGCAAAGTAACAGCAGAGCTTTAAAATGGTTTACCCATTCCACCGACGACGATGCAGTCTTTTAGACCCAGCGGCTTCCCAAAGACTCGAAACTGCTCTGCGATCTGATAGGCCAGCTCCCTGTATGACATCACAGACACAACATCAGCGAGAGTCAGTAACATAGTTTCCATTCATCTTAGCTCAAGTATCAATAACAAATGCCTCATATGCAGTGTTCGAAATGGGGGGGAGCCAGGGGGAGGGAGCTCCCCTGAAGGCCGACTTTGAGATAAATAGGGGGAGCCCAAAAGAATCGTGCATATTTGTGTCACACAGATTAGAAATGTTGAGTTTCTGTAAATAAAACTTCTTCCATTTAAATAATAGTCATTGTTCATTACAGTTTCTGAATATTTGTTTTATATTTGTGAATATTTCTGGGTGTTGCCATCTGTACGGCGGCGCTGCATTCTTTAAGCTACTTACTTACTTACTTACTTACTTACGCTATGGTTACGGCAGGCGATGCTGGCGCGGCATTTGATATTTTCATACTGATATTTTTTTTAACTCTGGCTTTGTAATAAAGAATATGGCGAAACGAAAAAACAGCCAAGCCCCGCAGCTTAGAAGCGAAGGAGTCTAAAAATGAAAACATGAACGGAACAACTTTTAGTTGGCCGGCTGTAAACGGCATTAGGGTCGAGTTTGACAGCTCCACACCGAGGGAGAGGCCTGCCTATGCAGAGCGTGAAAAGGCTTCAACAACGTCTCAGCTGCCGGCGCCACCTGCGCTAGCGAACCTTTCCTGACGATGCCCATGACCTGCCTTTTAACTGGACACAGAAAACATGGAGTGAGTGGAATGAAAGTTATCCATGGCTTTTAAAAAAAAAATTTTTTAAATGTGGATGTGAGATTTGCAAAGAGGCAAAAAGTATATTGATCTCCCTGCCGCTCGCAAAAAAATCCACCTTTGTGCACCTTTCACAAGAATGGATTCAGGGAAAAGTCAGCAGTAATCAACAGAATAACCTGCGGAAAAAGATTTGTAAGCACTAAGAGCCAGGCACACGAAAAAGCGATCGAGATTTCGGAGATGAGAAAAAAGATGTCCTACCAAACAAGGTAGGCCTATTGGCAATCAATATTGATCTAATGCAGGAAACATCTTTCAGGTCTGCCTATATGATTGCCAACAAAATAAATAAATAGGGCTCCCCCGAAAACAAATGGGTAATTAGAACACTGCTCATATGTTTGATGGGGACAGATCCATTTGAAAAATAGTTTGTGTTCAGTTGTTGTGAGCTAACATATAAAAGACAGTCTGTGTTGAGTTCTGTATTTTAAATAAATACAAAAAAACTATCTCAGATTTAGACATTATTTAGGATCTGAAGCTTGTGTTTCTTTGACATGTCGTGACTTGAATATTAAGACTGCTCGGTTCAAATACATTGGTCGTTTAATTTGGCAAAGTGTCAGAGAACCATACTGTGAAACACTAAAGGTCTTAATGTGGATTTTCCCCCATAAGTGTAGCGGGGTCTCCCAGCTTGCTCTCTGACGCTGCACAGCACTGACCTAGTAGGAGTGAGCACCAAGCAGAAGATGCCATATGGATCCTCGGAAAGTTTCTGCACAACTGGAAGCACAAAAGCTGCTGTCTTCCCACTTCCAGTCTTAGCACAGCCCATACAGTCCCGACCTGCGAGGAGAAACAGACATCACATTCCTTCATCTGCTATGATTTCTGGTTAACCAACTTACAAGGTAACTTCAGAGGATTCTACAGTAATTATTTACAATACCTTTATTATAATGGTGACAATCTCATACTCCATGAGAAAAAAAGTATTTGTTGTCTTTGCTTATCATGACTCGTGATTTTTCTGGAAAATGTGGAAGCAGTCACATGGGGTAATCATTTACATGTTATTGTTTACTAATGTATTATGAGGGAAAGAGCCGTATCAAAACAAAAGCCTTATTCCTGACCTCTTAATCATACCTCCAATCAATAAAAAGTTATACTTTAACTGCAACTAAGAGCAGTTTGGCTCATTTATAATACAAGCAGAACCCACAAGTGTCTCATGATTTGGAAAATGTACCATTATTTTAAATACATTTTCAACTTACCTGACCATTACAATTATAACATGTGTTTGAGTAGTTTCATTACTAATCGACACTGCTGATATGGACGTCCACGGTAGTGAAGAAGATATTTACATCACAGGTTTATGGGCTGGGGATATATATGTTTACTGTGGACATTTAACAGAGACTTACCTTCCAGTATCGGCGGCATGCAGTGTTCCTGTACCGGAGTGGGTTTGTTGATGCCCATCTGTTTACACTGTTTCACCAGCCAGTCTGCCAGGCCCAGCGAAGAAAAGTCACACATTTCTATCGATTTACCGGGCTAGATTATCACTTCTGTCAACTTTATTTTACACAATAATTACGGAAATACTCGCGTTAAACGTAGAGTTAAACATCCTCGTGTATTTCATCAATGGTCGCTGCGTGATTACGTAACAGTACAACGTATTTTTCTTCTTCTGCAAGTTACGGACGAGTGGAGACGGTGCTGCCCTCTGTTGGTTAAATATTGTGTTTTTTTTAACTCCACTATATTTATCTGACTGGTTTATTGGCTTTTCAGATTTGATTTTCTTATTCTTCGGGTCTAGACAAAAGCATTGCCAAAGAACGTCATTTTAAATTATAGTCTAAAACTAAAGGTTACATTTTCATGCATACGTCGAAAATAGTATTGTTCCTCATTAGGTAAATAAACAATTACAAAATAAATGTTCTGAATCGGTTGCAAAGTGCATCATTAAAAAGGTAAAAAAATAGGTTGAGCTCATGAAAATGGACTTGGTTCTTACGAGAGAGTGATGCTACAAACATACGATGCTCCTATGTAAAAATGTATTGATTGATTTTTGACATATTTTATACAGTATATATCAGTTGTTGCAGCTGTAAATGTGTTTTTGGGGGGAGCTTGTACATTTCACTTAGGGATGTGGAAAGACTTTGTTATTTCTGTTTATTCTAATAATTATACTCTGACCCATGTGGTAGAGAGCTGTTTGGTAAAGCTTTCTTTCTTTAATTAACAATCGAATGACCTCTACGTCAATTGATAGATATTGCTGTCCTAAGGTTTTACCACTCTGGCTGGATGATGAAGTTAGACATAATTTCAGATCAATACAAAAATGTGAACTTAAATGTCAGGTTGTTTATTTTCCCCCATGATGAAGCACCACTGATACACAGACAATCTATCACAGATATAAAAGTTGCATTTATTTCTTAGCTAACATAACTTCATCCGCAGATCTGGAGTCATTTTAACCTTGAATTTTCGCAATCAGTCTTAACTTGTCTTCTGTGCTTAATAGCACTGACTTGTCCCTCTGACTGACCCTGCCTAATGTACCTTATTATTTTAATGGAAGATTATATTTGCATCTGGGTGACTAGTGAACAATGCTATTTGCACCCAGATGAGTACAGTGAGCAATGCTATTTGCACCAGGGTGACTATAGTCAACAATACTATTTGCATCCGGGTGACTATAGCGAACAATGGTATTTGCACCCGGGAGCGAAAAATGATATTTGCACCCCGATGAGTACAGTGAACAATGATATTTCCACCCGGGTGTATATAGTGAACAATCCTACCTTTTACATTTGTACCCTTCATACCAAAGATGCACTTTCTCTGAAAAGAGGTCGTCAACTGCAGTTTGGACATTACTTTTGGAGCATGCTTTGGTGCTTAGTGTAGCCTGATCCGAACTTTATGGCATTATGTGACAAAGGAAAGGGGAAAAAGGGGTTTCTCTATTTTCACCGGGGTGCAAATAGACACTCCTTAACTTTATCAAGTATGCTTTGGTCTGACATTTGAGAATTTAGATGATTGCACTCAAAGCTTTTTTTATTCTTTTTTTAATTAACAATTTTAGATTTGATTCTGTCTGGACTTAAATTTCCAATGCAAATAATGCCTTGGTTGCCAGATCCTGTAGATTTTTCTCTGTCTGTCTCATCTGCCACAGTGAGTGTGAAGAAGGCTGTGAGCTTGATTAACACGCTGCTTGACTTGGAAAAGGAGAGAAGTCTTCCACAATAAGACCAATATGGGTGTGCACACTGGGGCTGCCAGAGGTGGTTATAACCCTTTGTGTTAAAGGGGGAGGCCTGCAGGTTCAGCTCTATCCTGCTCAGACCCTCTCCAGCTGTGCTATAAACGGCCTTGGACCGACTGAGAAGAGTCTTTCCAAATGAGCATGAGGGTTGTTTGCATGTAAGGCAGCGATCTGATGTTCCCTGCAGCCTCCCTGCAGCACAGAGCAGCAGTCAGCTGCATCGCTGACACAGGCCACTGAGCAGCACGATTAGCTGCTCCCATCGCTTCCACTACATTTAATGTTTACCTCCTGTTCATGCAAAGGTTTATTTTAAATCAGAGGTGACTTCAAACCAAGCCTTCATTATTTAATGTGGTGAAGTGCAGGACTTTTCTAAGCGTGAACAGCTGTGATTTTAGACAGTTTTTAAAGAAATGTTGTGAAGCTTTAATGAGAACAGTTTTTGGGTTAAATATTCTGCAACGTTATTGTCCTTTTTTTGGTGCCAATTAGCAGCTTTTCAAAAAAAAATTGTTTCATATTTTTAAAGAGCACTTTGAAACTGTCTTAAGAATAACAATTGCCATTATATATCTTTATTTAACTTGTTATGTCTTAAATTGCTGTCTTCATAGTCTAAAACATAGGATGTTATTTGTGCATGTGTGTTTTGGCTTATTTGATGTTTAGGTCAGCTCAAGTTAGATTTATAAATAACAACAAAAAGGGAATTTGATCACTTTGTTAATGTATTTTTAAAGGGATTGTGATGTGTAAGATGCAACTCATATTTGTTCATCAAAAAGCAGTTTTTCTACAAGTTTGTTTAAAGAAATGCATTTGCGATACATCATATTATGTGATATTCAGTGAGAAGAACAAGGGCATTTGGTGACACTGCCTAATGAATAAAATCATTATATTGATGCATAACATCTCGGGGGCTTAATATAAATGTAGCACATTAGTTTTTTTAGCGTGTGGCTTTTTACAATCGGATTTATCTATTTATTTCCTATCCTATCAACTGCAAGATATATTTTTAGCTGTACATTTATTTGATTTAATCCATTAAATCATTTGGGATTATCATATAGGCCAATACAACAGCTTAATATAAAACATTATCTGTTTTATGAGTAAATCAACACAGAGTATGCATCTAACTGATTCTTTGCTTTATTTGTGTCTCAGCCATTTGGCTTCTGTTCTTCCATCAGACGCTTCAAGCTTTTAGTGCGCTGCCATCCCATAAATACCCAATCTGCGGATTGTCTGCACTGCAGGCCGTTTCCACTTGGCTTTTTCACATTCTAACATTTAAATTGAGAGTGGGGAAGAAAAGGAGAAGGGGGGCGAGTTTGTAGTTTGCATTGTGACCAACAGAGGGCGCTTAAGAGGCTCTACCGTCCCACGAGAGAGTTAAATGATCCCAGTGTGATCTGGCACGGAGGCGGGAGGGGAGCAAGTCCTGGACGAGGTTTGAGCCAGAAGCACTCCAATCCCGACTTTAATCGACATTCCTCCGTTAGTCAGGCTCGCAGAACTGAGCAAAACAATTCACTGTGCGTAATTACGCACGGCGACGAAATATTCTCGGTGTTGTCTCGCTGTGGAAGCCTGCGGACAAAGGAAGGCAGAAAGGCTGGAGTACAACAACTGACTTGAGAGGAGAGGAGTACTGTTGCAGGGGGAACAGGGGAATCTGCAGTCGGAAGTGATTTGTCTTTTTTCGGAAATGTAAGTTTCGTCCAGCAATTTGGGGAAGAGGCGAATCTGAGGAGAGGAGAAAGGCACAAAAAGTGGAGTGGTGAGTGGAACCAGTCCTCTAGCAGCATCCAGATCCTCGGAGCATGGGGTAAGTTAGACATTTGTGTGTCCTGCTGTCGGGAAGTGATTTTTTCAGATGTCGAAATGCTTAAAAAAAGTGAACTTTGTGGTGACGTGAATGTTCTGAGCGTGTGGCTGTTATGTCCTCTTAGTCAGCACATGCTCTTTAATAAAAAAAACAAAAAACGTTTCAGTCAGAACATTAACATCAGTTCACAGGTGCCAATGCTTTGATAACGCTCTGATAGACAAAACAGTGAGAGGAATATTGTTTGTGAACTAGATCCAGTCTGAGGTCTGTTTACACCGTAATTAAATAATGTGATTGTAAAAAGGTCAAATTCACATGTCAGCAGATCATGCCCGCATCATATTACATTTCAAACTAGCTGACAGTCTTTAACATGCATCCATTTTGTACGGTCATATGGTAAAACACACAGATTATCCATGCATCCTGCAGTTAACAGACTTACTGCGATTTCCTGTTCTCTATTCCTATGCTTTTTGCATCAGACACACACACTCTCCCTCTCTGGACCCTTTCCAAGTCGATTGCTATGCAATCCTGGGTGGGTTTTCTTTGGGAAGCTTCTGGTGTCAAGCTGTGCTCACTCTCATTAGGTGCGAGTGTTGTGTGTTGAATAAAATAAGCAGGCCTTCAGCTTGGCTCAACACACCTGAGCCCTCCTCACATTACCTTGTGGGTCCATGCTGTCACCTTAAACTAAATATTTAGCGAATAAACACTGTTTTAAAATGAATGCTGTTTTAATATAGAGATTTCCTTCCTGCATATCTATGAGTTTTGGACAAAAACATTTAAAGACACCACCTTCAACTTTGAAAAATCTGACAAATGTTAATTATTAGGACTAATTGTGGAAAGAGCTGCAAATTAATCTGTAATGAAAGTTATTGTTTATTTTCAGCTTTAATGTGCAGACCAGTGAGAACTCGGCCTTTTGACAGTATAGCCCTGGTATCTGATGATTGTGTTTGATACACGCTCAGAACCTCGACCAGACATCAACTCAGCATCATCCCTCTGTGGCAGCTGAGTTCAATCACTTAATGAAAGTCATGTAGTCTCAGGGCCACCATGCTCACTTAGACAGACACATGCACATCTGACAGACGAGACAGCATGCAGCTGCTCCTGTCAGAAGTGAGCATCAGGAGGAGGAAAGCCTTTATTAAAATCCACTTTAGGTCCATAAACAAAATGTCTCAGGTGCACAGGTGCTATCATTTATTTAAAAATACTTTATTTTGATCTTTCTTTTAATCATCTTCCAGGCTGTGGGATAATGTAAGCGAGTGGGATTGCTATGGGAATGGAGTACCTGTGTATTGCAGATCTACGGAGAGATTGAAATAATGTTGTTTAAAAAAGGGTCTTTGTGCTAGATTTCCTCCATTTTCTTATTTGATCACTGATTGTGAAGGTTAATTTACATTTTTCAAAATGTGTTCAGGTGCTTAGCTGCTCTGAGCCTATTTATTGCTTGTTGTAAAGTACTTGAATCATATCACCTGACTTTTTTTCTCCCAGTTGGAATATATCA